CTTGCGCAAAATCAAGGCAAATTTCATGTCTGTAAAAATCAGCGTACAATCAATTTAGAGAGTTGAAATCCAACAAAAAGATTATTAGAATTATAAAAACGTTATATTTTAAATAAAACTTGTATTACGACGGTCAATGGAAGAGGTTCCTTCCTTGCACGATTGAGAACGCAAAAACGTTGCACCCAAATGTTTTTACTAATATTGATTTTCGGGTGGGCTGATGTTAAACTTAAACTGCTCCAATTGAACGGCAAAACTTCCCAGTAATAAAAGACCCGGTCGAAGATGGGTTATGCTGCTAGTCTTTTTCTAAAATGAACAAACTTTTCGATATTTATATTCGTTTATTTATGTCCTCAGTCAGTTATATTCTATGCGATCATGTATCGTTAGACACATGACTGACGAGACAGATTTTTTTCCCGGAGTAGGTTGCCATTTCTTTCTGCGGAAGACCAGTTGCCTCCAAGGCTACAAAACCCAGTCTTTCCTGCTATTTTCCCATAGCTGGGTGGGGAGAAGGTGAGGATTCATACTTTTCCCAAGGTTAGTAGCACGTAAGTGAATGTAAGGGATTCGACTGGAATTCGAACTCGGCTCTCCGATTCCTCAATCCGAGCCGCTATCCATTACTCTAGTGGTTTTGTTTATCTAACGTTTTATATATTTAAAAAGACCGTTAATTTTATCTTGGACCTTCTAAAAACAGTCATATATATAAAAGTTTATGTTCCAAAGGATGTCATGACCAGAAGTGATTGTAGGAACAAACTCTCACTGTCTATAAATGCTTCCTTGACCTGTATGACAACTGAATAGATGAATCAAAGAATTTTAATCAGCTGAATTTCTCTAAAATTACAATTTTGTGACTAACAGGATCATGATCAAGCTTCAACATAAAAAATTCAATAAACAAGTATTATAATGAATTATTTTAATAATAACCAGATATAGACACTTTATTCTGGGCAATATCAGAAAGCATTACTGATATGTTGCAAACACATTTTTTAAGTGATAAGATAATCATTACTTTATCTACATTGAAAATTTCCTCATGACAAAAGAAGCAACAAAAAGTCTCTCCTCCATTTTGATCTCTATTGATGATAAATAAATGAATAATACATATTAAGCAGACGAGACCTGTAAATGTTCTAAAATAAAAATAAAAATAAAAACTTTTCAAAAATGTTCACTAAAGGGATTACTTGAACTTTTCACTCAGTGGAATCACAAATAATGATAAAAAAGTAGAAAGAATAATCCCAAAAGGTTCAAGAATAAATCAATTATTTTGATGAAATAAAAGAAAGTATTCCCTTATTTCTTTAATCATATTACAGTGGCTTAAGGTCTTATCACATTGAAACACTGGTTATTGTCTGATCACCGACGTTAAGCAACATTGAACCTGATCAGTACCTAGATGGGTGAATGCTTGGGAATATAAGGTGTTGTAAGCTTGGATGTGCGGGTGGTGATAATGACTTGGCAATTGTTAATCGGAGAGCCGAGTTCTAATTCTCGTTGGTGTTTTTATATTCACTTACATGCAAATACTATTGAGAAAGGTATGAATTCACTTCTTCTCGCCAAACTATGGATTAAATAGTAAAACTTGTATTTTTGTACAACTAAACTGAAGATCGTTAGTCTTATTTTTACTTTCCTTTTATGCTTGCCTAAAGTTATATTTATCAACTTTGCATTGTTTTCAACCGTTCATTTTTTTATCAATAGTTTAGTACTGTGAAAAAAGAACTATAAATGATTTTATTGTATCTCTATGTGACGGGGACACCTGGTCCAGGGTCGAAACCTTTGGTTACGGTGCCAACTGTGACGTCTCTCCTCCTGGTCGCTCTTCGCTGTTCCAAGCATGCCGTTCCAACCCCTTGGTTAGATGATTACCAGCCTCGCCTTTCTCAACCCGCTTCCAACACCTGGTTACTAGGGTAACTGTACTGATCTCCGGTCTGTCTACCCACGTTGTGATTAGATCTTAGACAGCCGGGATCAAACAGGGATTGGGGCCGTATGCCAGCTGAGTTCGACGGGGGTGGCAAAACACAAGTAAAAGAAAAAAAACTCACGAGACCAAAAATTACTGATAAAAAGGGTAACAACCTTTTATATCTAATGTTCGTTACAGAAAATTATTCTTACTTCCCGACCCGCTTTGTGGACTGTGGCACCAAGCTCCTATCATACAACTTAAAGACTTCGAATTGTCTACTCTTCAGAATTTTGTATGTCGGAGTGTGGTTTGGTTTCGACACTGGGGCTAATCTCTACCAGTCGTTCACGGCTGATTCTTCTCTTCGGCTTGAGTTGGACGTATTTCTTCACTTCGATTTGGTTTGGCGAATTTCTGTTGGGGCTTGGTTTGATTTCAACTTCGATTTTCCGTCCTGAACTCTTTTTCTGTCGACGAGGAGGTTGAACTGATTTGCTTGTTTGGCCTGCAAGACGCAACCTGTCTGAGGTGGACCCTTCTTCTTCCGGGGAACTACTCGGCTCTCTGTCGTCTGGGGCAACTCAACTCTCTGTCGTCTGAGTCCGACCCTTCTTCTGCCGTCCGCTGAACTCTTCTGCTTATTTGGCCTGCAGCTCTTCGGCCTGTCTGGCCTGCAGCTCTTCTTCTTGTCTGGCCGGCAATTCTTCGGCCTGTCTGGCCTGCAGCTCTTCTCTGGCCGGCAATTCTTTGGCCTGTAGCTTTCTTCTTGTCTTCGACTTGGCTGCAACTTCTCTGCCTTTCGAGCAATCCTTCTTCCGAACTTGGACCGACTTAGGATTCTTTGCCGCAAAGGGGCGAATGAACAGGGCCCGATGCCCGCGTTCCAACTGCTCTGGCCGTCTACCCCGTAACTCATTTCTGTCGACTGGGGTCCTGCTTTTATTGACGCCGCAACAAACTGGGGTGGGTCTGTCGGCGTCAGGGTTTTCTCGATAATTCCAAAAGTCGCATTATTTCTGATTTCCCATTATCGCTATTATTTTCACCCCTACTTCCTCACAGTGCCTCTGGGGGAGGCGCTTACCCATCTCTCCCGGTCTCTCGTATGTCAGGTGACCGTTTTCGACCAATGGTTCTTGATCGAGCGTCCTTTCTCCTCTTTCCCGCATATCACGTGACCGCTTTCGGCTAATGAGATTCTGGTTGGGCGTCTCCGTACTTCGTGACGTCTCCAATCGGGCGTGGTCTATCCCGGCTTTGTTTCTGGGAAAGAATACCTTGCTAAAAAACAAAATCTAATTTGGCCTTTTTTTTCGCACGCACGAAAAATGACAATCTCGGCCCTTCTCCCTTTTTGGGTCCTGTCAAAACAGTCCGCCGCTAATTAGATATGACTTCAGGAAGAATTTTTCGTCTTGCTGACGCTTTCTGTGAGCCCCAAAACAATTGTTTTTCATCTCTTTTGTTTTTGCTCAGACCTGATAGTCAAAAATCTTAATTATCTGAATTGAAAATGTCTTCACTTCATCATCGTGGGTGTTCTGATTTTTAACAGGTCAGAATCTGTATACAATTCCAGCGGTCACCTTCTCATCCCAAAAGACACCCTTCCCCGATTAATATTTCGTTTCCATTGTTCTAAAATCCATTTCTCCAAATTGATAATGAGTCTTCTACACAAAAGTAGGCCAGATGCTTTGACCGATATTTTTTATCAATCGCACGTATGTTCATACACTTTTTACCAAGTCTGTTTTCTTTCTTTCTTTTTAATGACCTTTCATTCTATTCTTCCAAATAACAATTCCCATTGTCTTTTGAAATTCAGTCAGGCACGTTGGCCTAGATAACTTTTTTGACACCTGTTTTCGCTAATGACCGGCCTTTTGCATTACCCATCCTCTTTCTTTTTTTTTCCCTTCTTCTCTCTTTTTCTTTTTTTTTTTTCTTCCCTTTAGGATCGCCTAAATACAATTAGAGAATTATTTTTAAAACTCAATTATTCTTCGTCTAAAAAACTAACAACTGGTTAATAAACCGAATAAAAATTAAATCATATTTCTATGAATATTTCTTTTTTTTTTTTTCTAATAATGCAGGGTGCCACACTATCTATAAAAACAGGCCCAGATGTGTGTGTGTGTGTGTGTGTGTGTGTGTGTGTGTGTGTGTGGGACATCCGAAAGCAGGCTCCGCAATTTTCCCCGGATTTGCATCAAAATTTACATGCACATGCTCGTTAGCGGGAATCCTCTCCCGACTTTTGCAGAGAGTTCCCATCGATAGTGGAAAGAATCACATTTTTCATGCTTCTACAGCAATTTCATGTGGTTTGTGTCCGGATTTAATGGCCAGAGGGAGAGCCAATAGCTTGCTGTCCGTTGAATAGTCAGGAAGATATTATTGGCCAGCGTTATGAGCCATAGTGACTGAATCGAATGTTAACAGGTTATTCTAGCATGCAAAAAAAATCGAAAACTGTATCATTTTGCATCAAGTGGGATAAATTTCATCTGCATTGAACGGTTACTCCAATTCAGTAATGTAAAGTTATTCTTAAAAAACAACGTTGATTCAAATTCCGCAGAACTGTGTCCGAAGCTGAAAAATATTTGTTGTTAACATTCTTTTTCATTCGGTTTTTCCAGTTTAAGACCTTTTTTAACTAAGATATTTTAATTCATTTTGTTTAGTTATTTTTCAGCATAAGATTTAATGTTTAACTTAGCTTAGAAAAATTCTGCAATGTAAAGCTGAGGTAAGGAGTTAAGGCATACAAGCAGCATCAGCACCGCAAAGGGCACCCTTTATTAAGACAAGGAAGGGTTTCATATTTTAAGTTTGAGTGATAGATTACTGGAATTAGTGTAATTCTTTTTTTAATCGACGGGCAACGGCGCGCCACGATGCTAATCAGCCCTTTTGCGAAACAACAGAAATAATATTTTAAACAAGACTGTTTTATAATACCTGAGTATTTTAGGCATAAGTCCCGATTTTTATATTCAGTTTTTTTTTCTGTGGTAACAAATAAGAAACAATTTATATTTATTTATGCACGACTATTTCGTAATTTGTCTTGTTTTCTAGTTTCTAGTGCTTTTGTTTACCTAACGTTTTATTTTATACTTAAAAAGTCCGTTATTTTGAGTGCTCTAAAACGACGACATGTATATAATGGGTGGCCCTCATACAGTTATATATGTTCCATATGTCGACATGATTATATAAAACTGTCTATAATACGGCATGGCATCTCAAATAGTTGACAAATATGTCCGGCATCAAACCGGAGAATACGCAAAGACGGAAAACTAGCTCCTCATAACCAGCTGCTTCGGGTAGATGGAACTCAACTCGACAGCTCAAGAAGGTAGTCCATCTAGGAAAGGAAAAACGTAATTTTAAACTTCCATACCTTGCGGTCATAACCAAACATGGAGAAGTCTATAGTGTGGCACAAGGCCGAAAGTATTAGCACCCAATGATGACGAAAACGGACTTAATGGAAATCCAGACAGAAAACCTGCGATTAAACAATCCTGATGCCATTATCCATGTCAAATTGACAACACCTCCAAGTATTAAATTACCTGCTAACATAATAGTTGTATCCATTTCTAGTCCACACAGGAGATCTTCATTAAATTCAGGTTTGCAAAGGTTTACATTCATTGCCATCGCCCATTTTATTTTTATTTTTCTCTTCAAGGAAAATCCGTCTCACTACCAAAGGACTGAATTCTTACCAAACAATGACTAGAAAGAATACGTTTCTGTGAACAGCGTCAGATAGATACTTCATTAAATTTTAAGTCTATTAAGAGACAGAAAAACTTTGTTAGAGACAAATAAAACCGAGAAGGTCTAACTGTACTAAAATCTGTTTTCCTAACCAGTTTATATCGCTAACAATTACATCAACCGAAGAAAAAAACAGACTTGGGCAAAAATTAATCATTAGAAGGATGCCAAGGGGGATCATAACCAACATATGAGCAACAACGAGATTTTCGGGGAAATGCTAACAAAAACGAAATTTATAACAGAAAATTGTCCAAATCGGTAATGATCAAAATTGCTTGGAAAATCCGATTTAAGCGCAGGACATATTGAGGAATAGAGAAATGAAAAAAACACATGACTTCTCCGATATTTTTAAGCAAACGGATTTGGAACTGAACAATAAGAATGCATTTAGACCAAAATCTTAAAATAGAAGGACAGAAAGGTCGTGGAGAGCCATCCCGTCCTCGATAACAAAGGGGGAATGACTAAAGAATAAGACTGTAACTATTGCTATTGTTATTATTTATCTGTAAAATGCGTAATAACATTTATACAAATTGGTCTTTTCTTTAAATTGGAAAAGACCTGTTACAAAACACATCAATGACAAATCAAAATAACCTACATTTTTAAGTGCATGTATCATCAGCCGATAACCTGCCCGGAAGCCAATATTTCTGTCTGACAGAATCTTAATTGCCTACCTCGTATCATA